TAGATGTAGCCTCCCACATGTGCAACATCTGTGATCGACACTGCCGGTCCCGTATCGGCCTCTTTAGTCACCTCAGAACTCACCAACCTAGGTGACATTCCTTAATAACTCAAATCATTGTATTATAGCTGGATGATCGTCATACTCGATTCCGAGTGACAGCTAAATAGTAGTGTGTGTGGTTGTTGGAGGGTGTGTGGATGGTGTTGGAGGGTGTGTGGATGGTGTTGGAGGGTGTGTGGATGGTGTTGGTAGTGTGTAGTGCTGCTGAAAGGTGTGTGTGTGTGTGTGTGTGTGTGTGGTGTGTGTGTGTGTGATTGTGTGTGTGTGTGTGTGTGTGATGGTGGGTGTGTGTGATGGTAGGGTGTGTGATGGTGGGGTGTGTGTGTGTGATGGTGGGGTGGGGTGTGTGTGTGTGTGATGGTGGGGTGGGGTGTGTGTGTGTGATGGTGGGGTGGGGTGTGTGTGTGTGTGATGGTGGGGCAATGCTGGATTTAGACCTGTGGATGCCCATGGGCAGCCTCTTTGTGGAGGCCCCCCTCATTATAACTATCTGGGAGTTCCGGGGGGCGCTGTAAGCCCCCTGGGAAAATTTTGAAATTTGAACACTTCTTTGGAGAATTTTGAAGCCATATATGTTTGTGGAATTCTAAATATATTATTAGCAACACAAACAATAGCATTCATTAAAAATATACGGTTCATAGGAAAACCAGGTATTCATGAATTTCAAGGAGTAGCTAGCCTAATTTCTATCATGCTTCTTGCTGAATATAGTTTTACGTGATGGAATAGATAAACATGAATTTTAAAGAATGAAAATAAAAATAATCCAAATGAATAAACAAATAAATAAAATATTGTAATATGAGGAGGCCCCTGGGCAACTGCCCGCTTTGCCCACTCCTGAATCCGGCCCTGTGATGGGGTGTGTGGGTGGTGTTGTGGGGTGTGTGGGTGGTGTTTTGGGGTGTGTGGATGGAGTTGGGGGTGTGTGTGTTATATTGGGTTGTGGTGAAGTGACCCACGTGTGTGCATGCTATATGGTAATTATTGTTATTTTTCAACTCTTTTTTTGGGGGGGGGGTAGATATACATAACTTTCTTCTTATTTTTTTTTTACTCTGCTACATGCAAACAACCTTTATACAGAATATGAAAAAATAAATAAATAAATAAGAAATGATAATTATCGTAAAGTCTAAAAAAGAAGAAAAAATTAAAACTTCTCATGACTGCTGGCATGAGTCGCCCAGATTGGGAGAAGTTAGCGGAGGCGATCTCAGCCACTACAGTCTCCTGTGCGTAGTGAAACTCCAGTATTGCTAAATGGCAATGTGATATTTTTTCTTTTAATTTATTAATTAGTTTAATTTTTATTTATAACCCCTCATATTTACCGGTACTACAGTATACATGCGACCCTGGTCCATAATAACTTTAGATAATGAGGAGTATACAGGCATCCCCCGCGTTACGGAAGGGTTCTGTCCCTGGAAAATTGACCGTATCGCGAAATTCCGTAACGCGAAACCTATTTTCCCATTGACTTCCATTATAAAACTGGAGATGCGTTCCTACGGAATTTTTTTAGACCTAAAAAACGTAATTCAAGCACTTTTATGAATGAAAATAAACATTTATAAACACATACAATACAGTACATTAAATAATTCATGATATACATGTAATATGAAGAGATATACAGTTGGAATAAATAAAAATATTGTACTGTACTTACCACAAAAGATGTTGACTGCTGCGTGAGGATTGGTGGTGCGAAGGAAGTTACTGGGAGGGAGAGGGAGGGGCACTACTCTCTTCTGCCCTGCCCTGTAAATCATCATCTGCTTTCACCTTTTTTTCTGAATAACTCATCCAAAGTTGTTTGACATTTACGGCGCACATTCCTGTATTAGTGCAAACGCTTTAGACATATCCTTTGTTGTCAACTGAAGTGGGGTGGATGGAGAATCTATATCCTCTTCTTGTCCTGCAGCTCGCTCTTGTTCCAGCATCATCAGATCTTCATTAGTCAAATCTTCTCTATGGGACTCTAGCAACTCAACCACATCATTTTCCACGACTTCTTCAAAGCCTACATTATTTGCAAGTGTCACAATGTCTTGTTGAACTTTCTGTAGACTTTCAGCTTGTGAAAAACCTTGAAATTCATGGACACAATCTGGCTATATATTTTTCCATGAACCATTCATAGCCGAGGTTTTCACTTCATCCCATGACTCGGCTATATTATCCACAGCATCCAAGATGTTGAACTTTTTCCAGAAGTCCCTTTTATGAGCTGCAAAAATGTTTTCCTAAGATAATATGCCTTAAAGTTAGCTATCACACCTTGATCCATTGGCTAGAGCAAGGAAGTTGTGTTCTTGGGGATGTACTCCACTCTCATATTATCAGAAAGATCATTTAAATTTACTGGGTGGCTTGGTGCATTGTCTAAGAGGAGCAATGCTTTATTAGATATGTTATGCCTGGCATTATATCTTTCTACAGCAGGGCAAAAATAGTTAGTGAACCAGTCTTGGAAAAGGGTCATAGTCATCCAAGCCTTCTTATTGGAATGCCAAATCACAGGTAGATTAGACTTGGCATAGCCCTTGAGAGCCCTTGGATTTTCTGAGTGATACACAAGTAGGGGCTTTAATTTCATGTCACCTGAAGCATTTCCTCCCAGAAGAAGTGTTAAACGATCTTTGGATGCTTTAAAGCCTGGTGCTGATTTTTCTTCAGTGGAAATAAAAGTTCTAGCAGGCATGCGCTTCCAGAAAAGCCCAGTTTCATCAACATTGTACACTTGTTCTGATGTGTAACCTCCTTCATCAATAATTTTCTTCAGCTCAGCAGGATATTTATTAGCTGATTCTGCATCAGCACTGGCAGCTTCACCGCTCATTTTTATGTTGTGTAAATTAAGGCGCTTCTTAAACCTTTCAAACCAGCCTTTACTAGCCAGAAGAGGTTTAACCTCAGAAGATGCACCTTCCTCTTCCTGCAAATCATTATATAAACTTATGGCTTTCTGTTGAATAACCATAGTGCTTAGTGGCACATTGCATTTAGTCTGATCTTCAATCCAGACACTCAGGAGTAGTTCCATATTCAGCATCACATCACTTCGATGAAAATACAAGGTTCGAGTAGTTAATGGAGTAGCAGCTTGAGCACTTGACCTAATTTTGTCCTTATTATCATGGATTGTTCCCACTGTTGAAGTAGCAAGACCTAATGTTTTTGCAATCTGGCTAAGTTTTTGTCCAGCATCAAATCTTCTTAAAACGTCAAGTTTAATATCCAATGTAATGCCTTTGCGGCTTCTTTTTGCACTACTGCGGTCACTTCCACTTGATGGCCTCTTTCCAGTCATCTTGAATACAGTGGTCCCTCAGTTAACGAGCGCCTCGGTTAACAAGATTTCGGTTAACGAGTTACCTTCCATAAGATTCTTAACTTCGGTTAACGAGCAATCCCTCAATTAACGAGTTTCTTACGAGCTGACCTCAACATGTTTTCGCTTGCATTTGGCGGTCCACCAGCTGTAGTACAAGGTGTTAGTCCGCCAATACAGTAATCGGTTCTAGGGCTTAAATTCCTTACCATTTTAGTAAATATCAAGAAGTTTATACTATTCAATAATTTTAAAAGTTTAATATTAATTTTTTTAGTCATTTTAACAATTATTGAACATAATTGAAGGTAATGAAACTTGTTTTATGAGTATCATCCAGCCTCTCAACACACCATACAGGCGTCAGTCTTTGTGTCTTTTCAGTGGAGGTAACATCTTGCTTGAGACTCTCTTCAACTAAACGCTTTTTTTCTGTGTTTCCAAGCAAATTATTGGTCATTTTGAAATTTATTTTACATATTGATAATATATAATGCAGTGCAGTGTTGATTTAAAGAAAATAATCTTGAATTACACCAAGAATACTAAAATTTTATGGGTGAAATGGCACCATGGGGTGACTTCTCTTCCACCCCAATGCCTTCTCTTCTCCCTTCTCCTCCACCCCCATTCTAATTCCCATCATCACCATCATCATCCAGGAGCCTTCTACATACACACCTCAAAGTAAGTGTACTTTTCTACCTTTTTTGTTGAATTAAGGCAATTTTCGGTGAGCTGGAACCAATTACCCAAAAACCCATTGAAACAATGGTTTCGGTTAACGAGTTTTTCGGTTAACGAGCATCCTTCTAGAATGGATTGTGCTCGTTAACCGAGGGACCACTGTAATGGTAATGCACTGTATTGTACTTACTGTATGTTTGTAAAAGTTAAATCAAACTGCTGGGTCTTGAAAAATGCACGCACACTGGATGTAAACAATGGACTGACTCCTCGTGGCGACGTTACACTTGGCGGTAGCAAACACCAAGAAATCCATACCAAACAAATTATCATTTTTAACAAAAAAATTTAATTTTATATTGGGATTTTTTTTTTAATTGTTAAAATTTACCCCAATTTCCGTAAGGGCGGATTTACGGGCCGTAACGCAAAATTAATGGTCATAATTTACAAATTCCGTAAGAGTGAAATTCCGTAACCCGGGCTTCCGTAACGCGGGGGATGCCTGCATATTGAAAAATATGTGGTGAAAGTTGCCCGCAGGAATGCATCCCCCCCTATTTACATTAATTCTCATGGGGAAAATTGCCCTGATATTTGCAGTTTCCTTAATCATAATAACTTTTAGGAATGCATCCCTGCGAGAACTGGGTATTCCTGTACTGACATTTATGCATCCTTCTGGTGAGTCATTCATCCAACACCTAGCTACTGATACAATTTCCCCACAAAAATTATTTGAAACTAAAAGCGTTTAAGATATCTTGCAAAGGACTGTATTTTATGGTTTTATATTTTAGAAGGCATAGGTTTGTGAGGATAACATACATTTTGTACCATGATTCAATGAGTAGTAAACCGGGCGGAATTTACAGTAAACAGTAATGATTTTTATTGTACTAACCGAAGATATCCTTTGTTTTCTTCCTTTTCTGCCAGGCTCTTAATAGACCCCATGAGGATATCATCATAACCCAAAAACTCATCCAGGATGAATCGTGAGAGAGAATCTCCAAAACAAGCATCTTTCATGGGGTCCAGAGTGACAATTTTAACAGGGATGTTGAGACGTTGACGTGTGGCAGGTGAGAGTCGTAAAAACCCGTATTCTAGGGAATACTCCACTATGTATTCATCCTCTGGCCAAACTGTTGAAGATGATGATTAATGATGCATTCACAGTGTTTTGTTCCACCAAGAGGCAAAACTGATAAGAATAGTTTAGAACATTATCATATACGTATAGTAGCAAAAAAAAAAAAAGGAAATATATTTCAAGTCAAGAAAGTCACAAAGCAAATTTAAAGGCAGCATATAATAACATACAATACAGTATTCTAAAAAAAAAATAACTACAGACATTTAAAACAAACTTCCTGATAAAATAATAAGTAGAAGAAAACAAAACACAATAATTATAAAATGTGGGATATTATCCTCAAACCAGTTTCATATGAATGATGAGCTGTGAGAAAAGTAATGTAGTTTAAAGGAAAGTTTGGAGTAATTAAAAAGCTAAACTACAGATAATACTACTGTGATATCCCCATTAGCCGAAACAATTGGTGCACAGCACTTCCGGGGATGAGAGATTTCCGGGTAACCAGACGACTTTCTCAAACCCGGATATATTCCTTTTCCCCGGAACCTTTTCCGGTTTCTGGATAAAGTTTCAAAGTGTCTAAACTGGACCTCTTGCACAGACGCACACTAGCCCACTTCCCCAGAACGTTTCTGGGTGCTGGAGATGTTTTGCTTGCGTCTAAACTACTAGAATCTGTAAATACAGTTCTAATTAAGTTAGAAACTTCATTTCTTTACTATAATAATAGAGAATAGTTTATAAAAAGTTTGGTTAGATAAATATATTTAAAAATTAAAAATCTATAGGATATGGGCATGAATGAAGTTGTGTGTTACAGCAAAGACTTATTTTCCACTCCCATGGACCTATGGAGGATTAGTGGGTCTCATGTAACTGACCTGACCTAATGCCATGTCAGGTGGAGGTAGGATGGGGGATTAGTGGTCTCATATTACTGACCTGATGGAATGTCAGGTCACCCTTTCTTGAGTGGGGGATTAGTGGGTCACATGATCTGAAGATGTCTTGAATAAACACAAAACCTAAAGTATTTTTAGAGAGATTGTGGCAAGTACAAATATATGTATAAATGAGCAAAGTTGTATCCCTTCAACATTACGTTACATACCATTTTAAAATATGGAGTGAGAAAGCAGAGAGGTGTGGGTAATTAGAGAGATGGAGTGGAAATGAGTGTTGCCAAGCACTCCTCAACAGCTGATATTTAACTTGCTACCATGCAGTCACACGCACGCAGATGTGTCATACAATAAGACCTTCACTCCTTGTGCTTGCTGTCTTAATTCCCTTGCTGGGGGTGTGTGAGTGGTGTTAGAATGTGTGTGTGGTTGTTGGAGGGTGTGTGTGGGTGGTTGTTGGAGGGTGGAGCTTATAGCTTGGCAACACTGGTGCATGTTACCACTCCTTTCCACAAAATACTTTAGCTTTGGTGTTTATTCAAGACACCTTCAGGTCATGAGAACCACTGATCCTCCACCCAAGAAAGGGTGACCTGACATTCCATCAGAAGATCAGTAATATGAGACCACTGATCCCCCACCCTACTTCCACCAGATATTGAGTCAGGTCAGGTCAAGTCCCCCCCCCCACAAAAAAAAATTAACTTTCATCTTTATTCAAGATATTTTCAGGAAATTCTCTTGATTTTTAATCTTGGGAAACTTGTTCCTAAAACTGAAAATTTTTGGAAAATTCCGGCTTTGAGAATGATTTCCGAGGAAATTTAAATTCCGGCTGTCGGAGATTTCCAGGTTTGAGGGATTCCGGCTAATGGAGATAATTGTTATGTAAATTAAAAATAAAAGAGGAATTGGGCAAATGCTTTTAGAACCTGGCAAATAAGTCCTCTATGGATATTCTAAAAATTAATTGAATTTTTCATAATCTACATAATTTCTAGACTTACTGAGTAAATCAACTCTCATATAGGCATCATACTGAACAATGCACAGCACATGAGGTGGAGCATTATGAACATGTCTTGGATAAATTCATATGATCTTGACTTGGATTTGATTAAGTTACCTAAGTTAAGAATACTGTACAATGAAAGATGTAAATGAATTCACACAATGGTTATGAACTATTAATCCTTCTATAAATATTCTTGGTTATAAAGTACAAATTATTCTACCCATTCTTTAACAACATCACACACTCACCAGCTTTTGCCAACATTTCCAATGGTTCTTTTTTTGGCAGAGGTGAGTCATCATGTGCTGTTGTGGTAGCTTCTTCTTCTGTATGATTAGAAGTGAATACACCTGACCCACCCTCAGTAATGCTCGGTAAGTCAGTAATCAATTTACTCTCCACTGGCTCTAGTTCCACTTGAGCTAAGAAACACACAGATTTCATAATTACAGTACAGGTACTACCTAAAAAAAAAAGAAGTCGTTTCAATCAATATAAGACAGGCTTTTCAATATAACAGTGTAACAAAACACATATCATAATATTACAGTACAGTATATAGTTCCTCCTCTTACAGACATACCATGTATAATGTACAATCTATTCTGTGTTCCCTTTTGGTGTAGTCTTCCATTACAATTACAGTACAGGTACAGCATTTTCTCGATTTAACAACCTAATTCAAGCCACCCCTGTTCGTTAAATAAAAATTTCCACTAAATCAACCCTTCCATTAAGTTTGCTTGATTTACCGAACTATTTCACTAAATCGAGTGTGATTCCATTAAATTCCATGCCAAACGCACCACGCGTCACTTGGTGCGTGGGGTTTGTTTATATCTGCTCAGTCTGTGTTCTGCCGCCACTGTGTGTGTTGTTCACTGTTACCTCTCGGTCAACTAACTACTGTGCTTTCCTATCATGCTGAAAGTGTCTCAGAAGTTACAGAAAGGACGTGGTGTGGGGAAGAAAATGAAAAGAGTGCAGTTAACAATTAGTTTATATAATTTATCACTGTGCCTGTAACCATTTTCAAATTAGACTAAAAGATATGTATTTCTCCCATACATACTGTATTTCAATCATACGCCTGGCAACGGGTGCGAGTGAAGGGAGTGAGTGAGTCGAGTGGCTACTAGTTGAGCGTCGTCTGCTCTTGTAACTCTCCTTCCTCCTTGTCATATTTCACCAGATTTACTGTTATTATTAGTGTTTACTATTTTAATTGTGATAAATCATGGCACTGTAGCCAGGATAGACTTGTCACTGTAACCACCAGGCTACTGGGTCAAGCTGTGAGGTGTTATGGTTGTTTATCAACTTGTATTTTCGGGTAGATATACATAACTTTCTTTGCATATTTCTACTCAGTTACATGCACACAACATGCTACATACATACTGTGAAAAAAGTAAAAGATATAATTGTCCTAAGAGCAAACACTTTAAGAGAATATACAGTTCTTTGCACATAATTGATGGAGGGAAGGGAGCAGAGTGTATGGGGTGGGGAGCATTGCTAGGGAATCGGCGTCCCAGCTGTCTTCGTTACTATTGTGAAACAGGGAGAGTATGCAAATGGCGACTGTGTTAAAATTTAATTTGACTTATATTTACTGATTTGGCAATAAAGTATTTTTTGTTGGTAGTATTATTTTGATTTATTCCTCACATTTCCTGGTACCATATATACAGTATTATTTTAAGAAAACTGTGGCTACAGGAGGAAAATAACATGAAAAAGTTTTTTTCCTAAATTCTCCCTGCTAAAATGGGGTGTGTGTCATATATGGTGTTTTCAATATCATTATTTATCGTTTTTATACATTAAGTACATTCGCCGTAGGCTGAAGTAGGTTTTACTGTATCATGTGTCTGAGGTGTCTCTGTAAGTGTGAGTATATTAACGGAATTAATCTCGATTTAGGGAACTAGTTCACTAAATCGACCGAAAAATAATGGAAAAAATTCCTTTCGTTAAATCGAGAATATACTTTATTCTCACTTGTTTAAATTTACAAAAAGTCTTTTTATAAATCTTCCTCTATCCACTGTCTAAACATGTCCAAAATACTTTAATATTGTTATCAAAATTAGAATTTTTTGTTGTTGAGAACTGTCCATCAACACTATAAAATTCATGTATCCTAGATATACCCTCAGTGTATCCTCTATGTGTATAATATGCCTGCTATTAACATGTTGAAAATTCTTGTCCCCATATCTCTTATCCATTTCCAAAATTTCATTCTGGCTCCTTAATATCTGATTCACCAATTATGAGATATATCAAACTACCAATAATGTACAATCAAAGACAAAAGTCATGTTGTGGTTTTGTCCAAAGATTAAATATAACTTGTGAAACATTATGAGAGCCCCCTACCACAAGGCAGAACGCATCAAAATTTAGCCCTTCGGCATATGTTTTCATCAAATTTCACGACACGGCTTTTGTTTGTCATTGTACATAACTGAAAAGTGACCAAGTGGTTAACGAAATACTGTAAAATACATTTCTTATATATTTACCCATTGCAGACACTTAAATCACTGTACTCTTTTAATTTTCTCACCCAGTGAATGTAAATGTAAATGTCTCCAATACCTAAATCCCCTTCAATGTAAATATTCAGTCAAGAGTTCCTTCAGACACTACTGTACTGTACTCTTACTCCACATAATAGTCTCATGTATTATGGTTCATTGGGGAACATGCTCATATTTTCATGAACCCTCTCAGCCTTGGAGCCAGAGAGACATACATGCATGAAAACTTATGCTCAGGCTCGGAGGTTTTTGCCGAAAAATAGTTGAAAAAATATACCCTGTATATATTTTTTTAGGGCTCATTTGACTGCCATGGATTTGTTTTATTAATTGTAATGGGGTCTCTTTTAGCATAAAATTGTCTGAAAAATTGTATTAAACCATAAAAAATTGACAATTCTTTAAATTTAAGTCACTTTTTTCAAGTATAAGTTGAAAAAGTAGGGTAATGTTTAGTAACATCTCGATTTCCATTTACACTTTGCTTGTATTATGGTGTTCATTGGTATGTACTATATACCAAAATAAAGAACAAAGCATGTAGAATATCGTGGTATAAGGAAAAATAATACAACACAAATTAACTAGGGGAATAATTATAGGGCCAAGCAGCATACCCTCCTCTCAGTCTAATGTCCAGAGCGACACTGGCTTCATGCTGCACTGCCAAGCACACAATGACCAAGGCCGTCTTGGGGAAGGTAATAAGGCCTACACAAAGAAAACGACATCTGTCAAATCTGGTCTAAAGTTCAGTCAGTTTCACTGAATACTTTTGAGTTATTTGAAAATATAGCCCAAACACATTGGCGTCGTGAGGCAGAGCGTACGTTTTTTCGCCTTTTATGTTTGACGCCACAATGGCGTCGTGCAAGGCTGAGAGGATTAAGTCAGTCCCCAATTTATGAAAAGGTTCCATTCCTGAAAAAACTGTTGTTAACTGAATTTTTAAAATTGAATCCCATTTTCCCATACAGTTGTACCCCACTTAACGCGGTCAATAGAACCCAGAGGGTCCCGCGTTAAGTGAACAACAGAACATATGGGATTAATTCCAATAGAAACCAGCCCGACCCCCAAACTCCACTTTTTGAAGACACATAACTATGTTGTAGTAAAAATAACATCTTAATTTTATGATGGTACATGCACACAATTAATACTTAAGAGAAATAGAGAAATACAGTCGCCAAGTTAATGTCCATTCAAATAATGGACTCAACTCCCTCCCCCTCTTCTCACACAACACTGCTGGCTCTTCCCTCTCTGAGAAATTTGTTGGGGAAAACCACTAAATTTTAATAAATAATACCTCAAACTAATTTGGGATAATATTATTGCTGGATTCCTTGTAAGACCAGGAATATTTTGAATATAAATGTCATATATTTTTCAAAAAAGATAACATATTTACTCAGATTAAACATTTTATCTAAAATTTGTATGTCTAATGCAAAATCTATGATGTTTATATTCAAAATGATCACCAAATTGTAAGAATTCCAGCAATGTAAATTATATTCTGGCCGGGTAATTTGTTTGAATTTTATGAGCTAAAACAAATATATTCAGTTAATAAAAAAAAAAAATATTCTTCTCGACACTATCTGTCAATCAAAGTACCCCACCTTGCCTCCCCCCCTCTTCCAACCGCGCGGTCAGTCCCAACCCTCCCCCCCCACCCCCCACCACTCCTCCCTTCAAGAGATGTTGGGTGAAAAATTTAGATTTTAACATTTTGTATTAAATAATACCTCAGATTAAAGTTAGGATAATATAATTGACATTGCTGGATTCCTTGTAAGACCAGGAATATTTTGAATAAAAACGTCATATATTTTGCACGAAAGATAACATACTTACTCAGATTAAACATTTTATCTAAAAATTTTATGTCTAATGCAAAATATATGATGTTTATATTCAAAATGATCATCAAATTATAAGAATTCCAGCAATGTAAATTATATTCTGACCGGGTAATTTGTATGAATTTTATGAGCTAAAACAAATATCTTCAGTAAATAAAAAAAAATATATATTCTTCACGGGGTAACAGATGGTCGGTCGGTCCCTCCCTCCCCCCCACCCCCCACCAACCGTCCCAAGGAGATGTGTGGGAAAACCAGAATACTTAACTTTTTTGTAATAAATAATACCTCAAACTAAAGTTAGGATAATATAATTGACATTGCTGGATTCCTTGTAAGACCAGGAATATTTTGAATATAAATGTCATATATTTTTCACAAAAGATAACATACTTACTCAGATTAACCATTTTATCTAAAAAAATTTTGTCTAATGCAAAATATATGATGTTTATATTCAAAATGATCACCAAATTGTAAGAATTCCAGCAATGTAAATTATATTCAGGCCGGGTAATTTGTATGAATTTTATGAGCTAAAACAGGCAGTCAGGCAGGGTGGAGGGTGGGGCAAATCTAAAAATAGCATCTCGAGCCGGACACTCACCGCGTATATGTGGAAAAAATCCGTGTTAAGTGAAAGTTCAGCTCTGGCGAGGCACCGCGTATATGAAAAAATGCGTTAAGTGAAACCGCGTTAGGCGGGGTAATACTGTATTCCCATTATAAAAGCTGAGATGTATTCCTATGTAAAGAAAAATACTTCCTCAAAATGATTTAAAATACCAATATGTTTTTAATGATAATGTTGATGTATACAATGAATTAAAGCTATTAATACACATTATATGTGATATACATGCAATACAGTAAAGTAATAATTTTATTACAAGTACACCTTGATAACGTACGCATATGCAGACTGCCAAAAGTCAACAGGCAGGGAATCTCAATGGATTTTGAAGCAATTAATCCCATAAGAATATAACAAATTTGGGAGGTTAGGGACCAGCCACTCCCAAAAAACTCCTATCCACCATTGATATACAGTGAACCCTCGAAGATCCGGACTCGGGAAATCTGGATTTTGGAAGATCCGGACAAAAAATTTGGGGGTTCTGGGCTAAGAAGCCTTCTAGAAGTTTCCCTAAGAAGCATTCCTAAACCAGAGCAAAGAACATTTTAGGCCCATGAGCGCTGCTTGACCCGTCAGTTTCTTGGACACAGGTGCCTAAGGAGGTGGGAAACATAAAGAGAGTTGACAATTGTTGTTTGTGGGAATATTATTTCATTCACTCTAGTAACGATACAATATTTTTTATTATGTTATCATAGGTAAATGCATGATTTAAATACGGTAATTTGTTTATCACTACATTAGTACTGTACAGTACTATATTTTTGGCGTTTCTTATATCATTTAATATTTGCCGAAAAATCTGGACAATCTGCTTTTCCGGACAGGTGGTCCCCCTTTTAGTCCTGATCTTCGAGGGTTCACTGTATCTCTGTTGTTCACACCCACACACACAGAGCCAGGCCTAGTCTGTTTGCCCCCCCCCCCCATTATATCCCAACTCCCTACTAACCTCACTACACCGGGATTTATCAGCAAAACATTCAAGTGATTAGTGCAATATAATTGGTTACCAAACAGTGAACCAATAGTGTATTCCAAGGAAAAGAACGACACAAGCGTGATTCACAGCAGTGTAATACCAGACCGCTGGCACACTGTCGGTCACCTTCAAAGTGCCAGTGACAAGGACCACAGCGGTGTTTATACATACAGTGGTCCCTCAGTTAGCGAACGGTTCGATTAACTAAATTTTGGTTTACAAATTAGCTCCCATAAGGATTTTCAGTTCAATTAACAAACAAAACTTTGATTAACGAAATCCTTAGGAGAAACAAGTTTTGTTGTGTGCATCAGCTGATCAGCTAGTCCGCCAATACAGTAATTGGTTGTGTGTTTACATTCGTTTCCAGTGAAGTAAATATCAAGAAAGTTGGTCTCTTGAATATTTCTGCATTTTTTATATTAAAATTATTGGTCATTCTGAAATTTAGTTAACACATTGATAATATACAGTGCAGAAATTATTATGAAACATGAAGAAGGCATTAGAACCAATTCACTCTGTAAAGAATATGGCATCATCATCGACTGCCTCTACAATCAGCTGTTTGATATGTAAACAAAGCGGCCGGTAATACGACATACCGGTACACACCTCAAAGTAAGTTAAAATACAGTATTCTATTGTTTTTTATTTACTATTGTACAGTATACTGTACAGTACAGTACTGTATTTAGTTTATATTTAATATTTTGTTAATTCTATTACTGGTATACAGTCAACCCTCACTTTACGCGGTCCCACATTCCGCGTTTCCACGTTTACGCGGTACCCTGCCAGAACCCGGGATGCTCACATTCCGGGGTGCGTGTACCCCTTTACACGGGTGAAGTATAATTTTTTTATTTAGCTCATAAAATTCATACAAATTATCCGGCCAGAATATAATTTACATTGCTGGAATTCTTACAATTTGATGATCATTTTGAATATAAGCATCATAGATTTTGCATTAGACATACAAATTTTAGATCTAATGCAAGTATTTTGTTTACTCAGAGCAAATATGCTATCTTTTGTGCAAAATATATGAAGTGTATATTCAAAATATTCTTGGTCTTACAAGGAATCCAGCAATGTCAATTATATTATCCTAACTTTAGTCTGAGGTATTATTTATTACTGAAAGTTAAAATCTAGTTTTTTCACCCAATATTTCTCTGGTAGGGAGGGAAGGTGAGAGGTGGAGACCGACCGACCATCTGGCGATGGTTGGAAGAGGGTGGAGGCAAAGGTGGGGTACTTTGATTGGCAGCATAGTGTTGTGAAGAAATATATATATTTTTTATTAACTGAAGATATTTGTTTTAGCTCATAAAATTCATACAAATTACCCGGCCAGAATATAATTTACATTGCTGGAATTCTTACAATTTGATGATCATTTTGAATATAAATATCATAGATTCTGCATTAGACATACAAATTTTAGATATAATGTAAGTATTTAGTTTATTCTGAGTAAATATGTTATCTTTTGTGCAAAATATATGACATTTATATTCAAAATATTCCCTGACCTGCAAGGAATCCAGAAATGTCAATTATATTATCCTAACTTTAGTCTAAGGTATTATTTATTACTAGCGTTAAAATCTAGTGTTTTCACCCAAACATTATTTGAATGGACATTAACCTGGCAACTGTATTTCTCTTAAATATTAATTGTGTGAGCATACCATCATAAAATTAAGATTTTTTACTACAACATAGGTATTGTGTGGGAAAAAGTGGAGTTTGAAGTCGGGCCAGTCTCTTTGGAATTAATCCCATATGTTCTGTTGTTCACTTTCTGCGGTTTTCACTTTCCTGTACCCGTGGAGTTCAATTGACCACGTAAATGGGGACTACTGTAATTTTAATATAAAATGCAAAAATATTAAAAGCACAACTTTCTTGATATTTTCTCCACTGAAACAAAGTAAACATAGAACAGATTATTGAATTGGCAGACTAGTCCATCAGCTGATGCTCTAAACGTGTTTTAAAAGGATTTAGATTAATCAAAGTTTTGTTTGTTAACGAATTGAAAAATCTTATGGGAGGTAATTCGTAAACTGAAATTTCGTTAATCGAACATTTCGTTAACTGAGGGACCACTGCCTTCGACTCCGACTATACCGCCCTCAAGGAATTATTGAACAGTCTCCAAAATTGGGCCACCAACAACCATGTCACCATCAACCATACCAAGACCATGGTTATACACATCAACTTCTCCTCCGACATTGTCCCACCCCTTTCCATTACTCTAGGCCCAACACACTCCATGTTGTGGACTCCACTAAGCTCCTCGGCGTTACTATAAATAACAAACTAAATTGGAAAACACATGTCGTAAAGTTGTCAAATCCTCCGGTTTTCGTCCTCCCTCAAGTCCCTCAGGATTCTCGAGCTCCTCAGTGTTTACTCAACATTCCTACTTCCTAAGCTCACCTATGCCTCCCCTACCTGGTCTTCCTCCCTAAATGCCACACAACATAAACACCTTGAAAAAGTGCAAAGAGGCATGCAAGATTATTCTCTCCCCTTCCTACTCTACATATCAAGAAGCACTCAACACACTGACCCTTTCAGCTCTCTCTGACCATTATCATGACCTCATCTGCAAATTTGGTTGGCTTCTGCACCATCCTTGACACCGGCTCCTACCTCCACCCGAAATCCCTTGTCCATCAAATTGCTGTTCGATACCACAGCTGCATCCAGCCCATATGAGCATGTACTGATCGCTATAAGAACAGTCTAGTCCCAACCATTGAAAAAATTATCAACAACTCGTAATAAACCAGTGTATTCACTCCCAGTCAATCTTACCTTTTTGCACTGTAGTATAACCTAGTTATTATACTGTATACAGTGGGGTATGCTATAACGAACGGATCCTACTACGAATATTCCTATAACAAATAGTTTTACCTATAAAATTGAGAATGCTATAACGAACCACTCCTACAACGAACGCGGATGAATACGGGACTATTTCGTCTGGCGCACAGATATTGTTGTACAGCTGACTCACAACAAAGGCGTCAAGCGCCATCTTTGTCTCATTATTAGCCAGTGCACCACTGTTATTGTTGATATTTCGTCTTTGATGTGGAAATCGTGTTATTTGTATAACTATTTTGTTATACAAGTACAATTGTAACAATAGATAATCCCAAAAGTGAAAAACTAATAACCCTTAAAACTAAGAAAGAAATCATAAAAGAAACGTGAGGATGGAACAAGCATTGCGAAACTTAGTGATGAAAATGGGATCTAAATCGACTATATATACGATTTTGAAGAATAAAGAAGGAGTTGAAAACTGTGCAAAGTGGCTAAGGGAATCTTTAGACTTAGCAAGCAAGGTGTAATGTGATTGAAGAGATGGAAAATTTACTCTTAGTGTGGATAAAGGAGAAAGAAATGGCAGGTGATAGCATTAATTGAAGCTATAATTTGTGAAAGGCCAAACAATTGTTTGGAGGACCTTAAAGCCAAGACTCCCAGTGGAAGTGATCGTCTGTTGCCAGTGTTTAGGGGTACCTGCATGCTGAACAACACTAAGGTAAGATAAAGTACCGTATTTTTTACATTTTCCACAGAATTTTTTCAGTGTTAAGTGGTTGTATTTGGGGGCCTGGAACGGATTAATCCTATAACGAACGAATGCTATAACGAACGAGGTTCTAGAACCAATTAGATGCGTTATAGCATACCCCACTGTATACTATTTGTATCACATATGTTACTCGCATATTATTTGTCAATCAAGTGACCCAGTTCCCAATTGTGTAGCTGTATATTTTCAGCCTTCCGGCTGCCATGCTTTCAGTTAACCATTTAAATAAATAAATCTTGAACTTTGCTTTGGCTTTCAAGGGTCTGTATCTGTAATTAGCTTAAGAAACTAAAGAATACAGAATAATTTGCTTTTATTTAATTCCCCATATATTACATGAGTGCAAATAAGGTGTAACTGGGTAATGAGACAACTGGCTGAGTGACTGTGCTGGTAGAGATGAGTCTACTGTAATTGTCCCAAGAAGAGTTTGAGGAATAACTTAAATGGTTATAGTAGGAGAATAATGATACTGTACTAGTAAATTACATAAGCATAATAGTTACATTATTACTTTTCATAAATGAGCCTATGTATCGGGTGACTTCCTGTACTGTAATACTGTATATAAAATTTTAGTATAGTTCTGTACTCACCATTAGAATTATTTTGCCAACTTAATTCTCGTTCCTCAAACTCGGGCAGACCTGATGAGAGGAAGTAACATGAACAACAATAGCAGGGTACAGGGCCATAAGTCAATAGCAGGGTACAGGGCCATAAGTCAATAGCAGGGTACAGGGCCATAAGTCAATAGCAGGGTACAGGGCCATAAGTCAATAACAGGGTACAGGGCCATAAGTCAATAGCAGGGTACAGGGCCATAAGTCAATGACAGGGTACAGGGCCATAAGTCAATAACAGGGTACAGGGCCATAAGTCAATAGCAGGGTACAGGGCCATAAGTCAATGACAGGGTACAGGGCCATAAGTCAATGACAGGGTACAGGGCCATAAGTCAATAACAGGGTACAGGGCCATAAGTCAATAGCAGGGTACAGGGCCATAAGTCAATGACAGGGTACAGGGCCATAAATCAATACATATTAAAACATGCAAGAATATATTAATGGGGTAACATATATTGTAGTAAGGTACCATTTCTATGAACTTCAATTACAGAATCAGGACCTTCACTTGTTACTACTGTAGTGTACCACATAATAAGATTGGAGCATCAGGAGGGCAAAAAGTGGTAAGTGCAGGACTGGACTTTCAATCGCTACCCATATTATAAAACCTGAGAGTTTGGTAGAAAATTAGAAGTAAAAAAAGTGGCTTTCCAGAGAGGTAAGATATAACAGTGGGGGGAATTTTTCTTACCATATCTGAGAAAGTAAGTTGATTAACTTTGATCTTAAGAAAGTCTATACTGTACAGACTAGTACAGTCAACCAGAGGAATATGCAGTTGATATGAGTTAATTATTTCTCACAAAAATTCCTCTAAATGCAGTTATTATTTTGATTTATTTGACATTTGTTTTCGAGTGTCTGTCTTGATCTAATTTTCTCCTATCATGATCATGTTTTGACAGACTGGGTAGAGTCATATCCCACATATAATATGCTCTTGGGCAGATCTAGGGAAGGGTTGTACATCCCTCAACCTTTCAAATGAATGTGTGTCAGACTTTCCCTGTAGTGTGTGTTTCAGGAGGCTGGTTAGGAGACTGGTGGTGCACAGTTACAAATGGCTATCAGGTTGTGAATGGAGAGGATGGTGACACACAAATACAGTACCTGTACTTGGTTGATAAATAATTTTCAGACATAAAATAGTTTTTGGGGAAGATTAACCCTTAAATAACAGCTGTAGGGACAATGGCTATCATTAGTGGATATTTCACATTCCATATATTCCAATTTTAGCACATTTGGGGGCAGAGAAGGGAATCCTTAGAAGGCGGTTAAGGGTTAAATGAATGAGGAAAATTCATGAGAGTATTTTACAATATTGAAAACAACTAAGATAGAGATAATTACAGTGGTCCCTCGGTTAACGAGCACAATCCGTTCCAGCAGGTTGCTCATTAACCACTTCTTAACGAAACCATTGTTTCAATGGGTTTTTGAGTATTGGTTCCAGCTCACGAATTGCCTAAATTCAACAAAAAGGTAGTAAAAGTACACTTACTTTGAGGTGTGTATTTAAGGCTCCTGGATGATGATGATGATGGAATTAGAATGGGGTGGAGGGAGAAGGGAAAAGAAGGCATTGGGGTGGAAGAAGTCACCCATGCACCATTCACCCATAAAATTTTAGTTCTCTCGGTGTAATTCAAGATTATTTTCTTTAAATCAACACTGCACTGTATTATATACTGTCAATATGTAAAATAAATTTCAAAATTACCAATAATTTGCTTGGAAACACAAAAAAAAGTGTTTAGTTGAAGAGTCTCAAGCAAGATGTTACCTCCACTGAAAACAGAAGAGACTAACACCTGTCTGGTGTGTTAACAGGCTGGATGCACGCCAGAAACTAGTTTCTTTCAACCAATTACTTCAATAATTGATAGCAACTAAAAAGTTAATATTAAACTTTTAAAATTATTGAATAGTATAAACTTCTTGATATTTACTAAAATAGTAAGGAATTTAAGCCCTAGAACCGATTACTGTATTGGCGAACTAATACTACAGCTGGTGGACGCCAAATGCAATGCACACGTTGATAAACAAGTAAAATACTCGTTAATCGAGGGATTGCTCGAAGTTAAGAATCTTATGGAAGGTAAATCGTTAACCCGACTCGTTAACCGAGGGATCACTGTACTGTACAAGGATCACACACCATACAATATGCTGGTCTGGTAGTGGTAGCAATTGGACACAAACAATAGTGTACAACATTAATACAAAACCAACAAGAGGGTTTGAACACATTTTCTTTCTTTACTGTAAAACCCTTAGGCCCTGGGTGACGTTCCAGAACGCGCACCTTTTCCCGCCAGTGTTTAAATGCAAGCGTGGGTTATCAGGTTCCAGTGTGACTATTTGAGTGTCATACGCATGACCACAGGGAAGCTTCCTGAACATAATTACCTACTTTTGTTTGTTTCATTTTCACTGTTTGTCGATTTTATCATGTTGTATCAAAGTAATATTGATAAAGGCTGTGTAGTTGTATTGTAGTGTAGTATTACTGTAAAACAATGCTATGATTATGTTATAAATGTTTAAATTTGTGGAATTATTATTATTTTATGCAATATTTGCTCTACCAAACACAAAACACAGCCAGGCAGACCGACTGGTGATTGTTTCAGCACTTTTTTATGAAAAATTATGCAAATAAAATATTCTAAATTAATTATTTATAGCAAATAAGTATTAAGATCAGTAAATACATACATTATTGGCCACCGGACACAAAAGCGAGCTAAAACTGCTAAGTACCGAGGACCACGACATAAGCTGTCAAACCAACACTGTCTCTTATCTCCCCCTCCTCCCTCCTCTATTGTGACCATAGAAGTTTCGGTCAATATATAGTTTTTTACTTATTTTTATTGTTTATCATTTTAAAGGGTTAAAATTATTTTTGGAAAAATTAGATTTTTTCGATTTACTCCCGGGTGGAAATATTGCCACCATCACCTAACCGGGGCTTAAGGATTAATAATCTACACTATAATGTACAGTCAAATTAAAAAATTTGCCACCATTTCCCTGCCAGCATTATGTTTCTATTCAAACTACATAAATGGCACTTTTCCATCAATGCGTGGAGGTGCCAACTTGTTGTCAGGACTGCAGGTCAAACGTAAGTTTTGCACTAGCTGCACAGCTGGTGTGAACTATCAAGCATTGTGTGTGTCAGTGTTAAATATATAACATATTAAATTGTAAGAGAAATGCTACATTTTATGTTGAACCATATTGCAGTGAAACAAAAGAAATTTAATATACTGTACTGCAAATAACAGAAGTAAACAGAAACAATGTTTACAAATACAGTTGGCCCTTAACATACGCGGGTTTAGCATACATGGATTTGCAACACGCCAGATTGCCCCGCCGGAAGAATATTCTGTACATTGAAGTAATTGAAGTACATTCAAATCAAGATTATTCAATCCCATGCACCAACACAGGACACCGGCTTCCTGCAACCTCACACACACACGCATAGCTCTTTCCTCACTAGTCAGTCTCGCTGTAACCACGCCAGGCGACATCAGCTTTGTAGTTGCAAAAAATATTACATTTCCGTGAATGTATTATATCGCTACAGTATGAATAGAATATCACTAATATAAGAGTATTTTTTAACCTAAAACTACTAAAAAAACGAGTAACATCTTGAACATCGGAAGGTTAGTAAAGTCTTTGTTTTCATGTAGTTTATCCTAATTTCTATATTGAAATGCATTACGTTGTTAAAAACTACTATTATTTTGAGAATATGGAAATGTAATATTTGCTGAAATGACGTGACGATACAGAAAGTGATGAAAGCAATGACTCAAGCATTTTCGCTCAAAAGATGTTAGCGAATCGCCATTTGTTTTCAGTTAAAAACTGTTGTACATAACAATATTCTATCCTAATTCACTTGTGATGCAAATAAAGTTTTTAACTGAAAAACCATTCCGAAAAAGCTTATTACGGTAACATCTTTGAACGAAAGAAAGCGAAAGTTTATTGTTTTCGCTACTTATTTTATCCTAATTTCCTTTCATTATAATACGTACGCTATTTCAGTAAAAATATTACATTTTGAATGTATATATCAAGCACAGTATGAATAGAATATCATTGTAATATAACAGTATTTTAACCAAAAACTATTAAAAGTAGTAACATCTCTTGAACATTGAAGGTTAGGTAAAAATCTTTTATTTTTATATTATCCTATTTGTATTGAAATACATCACGCTTTCAGCAAACTACTATTTATTTCTCGAGAATAATATATTCATTCAGGCACAGTTTAGGTAAATATACATAAAAGGCAACATTTTTTAATTGAAAACGATTCAAAACAAGTAACCCTAGCCCTGTTCAAGAGAAGACTGGGAGGAGCTTTTGGTGCTTAAGATGATGACAAAGAAAATGATTTTGATGATTTAATGAAAATATTCAGAAAGACCTGGCACTGCCTGGCGAAAGTGGCTGCTGAAGGCTTCCAGACATGGCAGAGGACGAGATTAGGTTTAATTGAAGAGCACGAAACTGAGCTGACCAAGGAGGATCTACAGGAGCAGTAGACTCAGGCATGAAGAGGGAAGGAAGGGAAAGAGGATGAGGAAGAGGAAGAGCCACCAAGAAATAACGTGCTGGAGAAGTTGGGGAGATGACCAGGAATATTGATAATTGAAAAACCTGGCCTATAGTATGGAATCTTCCATGGTGCGTGCCCTGAAATCTGCGTGAGGGATGGATGACGTTTTTGCTCCATACAAAAACATTTCGCGGAAGAAATGAAAAGAAAAGAATACAACTCCCCATCACCATGTTCTTGATCACCGAAGGAGAGATTTAACACCATCAATCACTGGCGCAGGAGAAGCAGCGAATCTAATTGCCAGCTTCCCACTTCACTGGTACCCGTTATGGAATTCAGTGGACGAGTGAGCTAGATGACCCCCACCTCTGTCGCCGAGGATAGTACTGCAGTAAAGTGCAATTTTGGCCTCTTT